TGCGTGGCCGTGCTTCCTCTGCCTCCTCTGGTCGGGTTGAATCGGTGATGCCCGTGCTGTATTATTGCTGCGCAACTGCGATACATCACTCGACGTGCAGGTTCGTCGCCTCGAATAGAAACTGTACAAGCTGAGATTTGGATCCAAAAACAGAAAGCGCTCCCAGCGGAAGGAGGCATGGGCCCGTTCGGTTGGCACCCTCCATCGGGTGCTCACGGCATGACTGTGCTGCTGCAAGTGGCCAGCTCCTGAGCTATCAGCTTGGCACAAAGCTTCACTGCACCTTCGAATGCTTATCTTGATGCAGCCACAGAGTGCTAACGGGCTGCAGGACATAGGGAAGAGTTTGTGACAAAGGAAGCTCACGAAATAAGTCAAGCATAGCTGCACCAAGAGCAACGACTGCAATTTCCAGCAAGCCTTGAGGAACGCAAACTTAGGTAATTACGTACTACTTACGGTTTGGCAAAGCATATGCCAAATCCAGTTAGCAGCACCAAGCCGTAGGGAAGGTGGGAAGCGGAGCAAAAATTCTCCTGCCTTTTGCATTCTCGCAGAGGACAAGAGCAGAGCCAAGACTAGGGCCTGTTAACTCAACATCAGTCTTCGGAGCGAGCGCCACTGTTGAGTATTTATTGAGTCGGGGCCTCAAATAACGAGACGGTTGCCGTGCAGGGATCAGGGGAAAAAGTTGAAGACTGCAAACTGAACAGCAACAACCAATAACACAGAAACGCATCCGTGCATCGTATAAAACACACAAGGCAGCAACCACATCGCACACTGCCGTTCACTTTAAGGTACGTGTTTTTGGTGCCCAGTGGTGCTATTGCAAACATCCTGGGTCTGCGATCCTGGCTGTTTCGTACTTGACCCTGCGGAATCAACTACAGTCACCACTGGCTTAATGCTATATCATAATCTGCCACAATTCTATAGCATGCCATACCATACCATGCTATGCTATACCATGCTACCATAGGATGCCCGCCTCCAGGATGTCTCTTTGTGCCTCCAGGCGCAAGAAGTCCGTGGCCAAGGCCTCTAAGAGACGTCTATCTCTCTCATTACCTGATACAGAACATACAAAATATATAGTGAATAGCTTGCAGGGTTTGGTATTGAGGGCTTTAGGGTTTTAATGGTTTTGAGAGGATCTAGCGCGAGCGGTCAGAGTATGATGTGATCCTGGAGCTGGAAAAATCTGAATGAAACAAGCCCAAAGAGCATCCCGAGGGAGACACAGTAAGACTGAATGCCGGCAAACCCAGAACTACGCTTGTAAGCACAAACATCTGATCCTAGTCTCGGGGCATAGGACACAGGAAGGCTGTTGGGAAAACAGCTTTTCTGCTGGTTTTTAATCAAAGGGGAAGGAAGGTACTTAAACCTGGCCGAACCCCTAAACAACCAGGGCATCTAACAGCAAGCCCTGTTCTCTTTTTCCTTGAGCCA